CTATAGGCTCTAGGATTTCAGCTGATATTTGGTTCATGCAGCTGAAAAATAAGTATAAACACAACACAAATTTTTGTGGGGGTAACGGTTAAGCGGATCGACTCGTCATGCTATTTAAACAAAAATGCATATCTATACTGAAAAATGTCATACTTTTTTTATATTATTTTTTAAAGTACGTCATTTGTGTATGAAAGTATGTATATTGATGTGCCGAAACCTAGATTAGCTTTGACCGGCGTCTGGAAACCTCCAACCATTTAGGTTTAGCTGATAACCTGCAAAGCAAGGGTCGAAGGAGTTACCGCCGTAAGCATGCCGACGCTCAAGTGATCGAAAAATGGAGAAAATATAATAATTGCATCTAGAATATTCAGAGATCAGAGAGAAGAGAGTGTTTTAGTTGTATACTTGTATTTTAACTCTTTAAATAGGGTGAGTACCATGGTGTCCGGTTAATTTGTATCTTGGTGGCCAATAATTCTTGTTGCCCAATGATTGTCCGAAAGAACAAACTTGGTAACTGTCTGAAGCTCATCCTTATTATATGCTTAAGTTCATCCTTATCTATTTATGTTCATCCTTATTTGATTGTGTTTACACTATTCGATTAGTACTTTTCTCTTTTAGGTCTTTTCTTCATATGTTTATATGATACATAGGTCAGTCAAGTCCTAACCCCCCATATAACCGACCAATAATTCTTGTTGCCCAATGATTGTCCAAAAGTACAAACTTGGTAACTGTCCGAAGCTCATCCTTATTATATGCTTAAGTTCATCCTTATCTATTTATGTTCATCCTTATTTGGTTGTGTTTACACTATTCGATTAGTATTTTTCTCTTTTAGGTCTTTTCTTCATAGGTTTATATGATCCATAGGTCAGTCAGGTCGTAACCCCCCATATAACCGACCTATTCTTTAACTTCCCGTCTCTAACCAACCTACAGGCATATAAATAGGTCGAGCTAGGTATGCAGATGAGATCCAATCTGGCATAATGCAGGAATGGCCGAGCTCTGCAGCTCGCCAGTTATTTAGGTCGTAATTCTAGTTTTTTCGAGCTATGACTATATCACATATCTATTGGAAAAGTAAGGCAGTCTATCTGTTAGACCTTCTGAAGGTTAAAATTGCTATATTGGCTTATAAAAAGTCTATTGATCTCAATTCAGAAGCAAATTATTAGAGCTGTAAACGAGTCGAGTCGAGCTCGAGCTTAAGGTGCTCGAGCTACTTGAGAAAATATAGTTTCTCAGCCTAGCTATAAACAAGTACTATGTGCAATAAACTAAAAACAGGTCGACAACATTAAGAACTTAGATATGGTCCATATGGACTACCAAAATCATACTTGAGAAGAATGGTAATTTATGTCCACCAAAGATCTCACTGCAGAAGAAAAACTTCCTATCACATGCACAAGACTAGAAAACCAACCCGAAAAATTAAACCAAATTAATTTTTCTGGTTTGGTTCGGTTTGGTTCTCTTCTATTTTTCTAGCAATGCTGTTTTTTAGATCAATTTCACTGTATCTTTTTTTCACCATATAAATAAACAAAACTAATCAATATTGTTACTACAAGGTAAAATAAGTTTGAATTCAAGAGCAAAAACCACGAGTCAGCATATCCATTCAATACTGGATTGTTGCATTTCGGCTTTGTAGCTCACCGAATAAAATCGATACAACAACAACAACATACCCAGTATATTCCCAACAGGTTGGGGTTTAGAGGGTCAGTTGTACGCAGACCTTACCCTTGTAATTATACAAGGAGGCTGTTTCCGTAGCGACCCAAGGTGCATTGCGCCGTTTGATATATTTTTTTTTTCTAAAAACTTCACTAATAGAAGAAGCACTAGAATTTAATTGAGCCATTTTGATCTAGTCCATTATTAGCACTATGTCAGGAGAATTGTCAACAATGACTCTTCCAGCTCCATTTGCAATGGACAAAACCGAATAAAATCGATGCACCCGATTAATAATATCTGAAGTACACATATCCCGACAAAAATATAAGAAGCAGTATATATCAAAGTACTCGGTGAACACTCAAACCCGAGTTTACAACCCCACAAACTATAGGCACATTCCCTTTTCAAGTAAATCAGGTCATTGCATAGAGAAAATCTGCAGCAAAACGCGTAAAAGATTTTCACTTAGTTAGCACGACTCTTGATAACATCGAGGCCCATCTCAGTTGGATCAGTTGCTTGCAATTCAACTTGAATTCCATCTAACTCCCTCTTGAACCTGTCCTTTGAGCTAGCATAAATCATCTTGTTTCTGATCCTTGAAGTATCAGGAGACCTTTAATGGCAATATAAAACAAACCAATGAAATCAACATATCTAAGTATAGCAGCAAATGATTCAGGGACTATATAACAAATTACCCCTGAATTCCACCCTAATTACACAAAAGAATCCAGTTACCTTTTAAATTACAAATACCCTTACGGGTGCCAATCTTTCGCGTAGGCTATTATTGGGCTGGTATGCCTTTTGCCAATCTTTTAAATTACAATTGCTCGTTTCAGAAGACTAAAACGAGTAAAACTTTATAAATAAAACTAAAAGGCTATTGAGTCGGCCTTATAAATATCATTAAATTTTTTGTGTGTGTCAGCTCAACAAAATCTTGCTAAAAAAACCATAGAAACAGTAGGTATTAGAATTAGACTTTACAGAGCTGATAATTACCAGGCAATGAAGAAAATCTTGCTTTTCTGGCAATTCTCGGCTGTCACAAAGTCGAAATCATAGACAGCATATCGGCATTCATCAGCAGGAAGATTAGCACAAAAATCGTCATAGGTTTGAGTTGGCTCACCGACTTTTTCAACCACGACCTGCTTTTGTTTCTCCTCTATCTTAAAGATAATAAATCGGTGAGTCCTTTTTGCCTTCAGCTCCAAGAACCTCAGCTTGCAGTCATCGTGCACAGCCATACCTGAAGCTGCGTTTGCCTACAAACAGGTCCACAAGACCATCATTCGGAGAATGAAGATAATTTTAGTAGCATCAAAACAATCTGCAGGACTATATGACTAAACACAAACTGAAGATATAAATATAGCAGCTATAATAATCACGGGTTTTAAGCAAAATCAAAAGGGCAGCTGATTTTATTGCAAATAATCATGAACAAAAAATATCTGTAGCCAAGAAATAGCAAATGGGAAATAGAATTGGCAAAAACAAATCAGTAATAATATTCAAACACAAAATTCAACTGAAACCTAGATAGCCAATAAAAGTTAACAAGATCACATAACACATCAAAATTGTCTCATCAGTGGCAAAATAGCCTTCCATCGATCAGAATGACATAACAACAGCCTCGGATCAGCTCATCATCAGCTATCACAATTTTGAGCTCAATTCTCAACGTTCTCATAAACTCATTTCATAAATCAACTACCAAATTCCAAAGGGCAGCAGAATATACAATCAAGATCAGCTAAAATCTGCTTATAATAAAAAAGTAAAATCCACGCACAATCACTTCCAGACATAACAAGAATCGAACAAACAGCAGATCAATCAAAACCCATCATCTGAGTACCCAATCAAACAACCGTGTATAGAATGAACAATCAAACACAGTGAGAGAACAAATCCGTTGGGTAAAAAATAAATTTGGGGGCTCAAACTTTACCATTTTTTCGGTGAACACTCGTTTCAAGGCAGAGAGAAGACGAGCACACAAGCTACAATTATGTAGAAGAAGCAAAGAGGGACTTTTATACAAGAGATGATGGGATGTCTTTTGTTTTAGCTTTAATAGTGGAAGGGTTTTACAGCCTTTTAGTACTGTAATATGTGATGTGTGGGGAAGAATATAATTCCAGCTATCTTCTTCTGAAAATGAAAAAAAAGAATATGATTACACAAATTGACCACCCCGCGTGGGCTTTATGAAGAAATTAGCGCGGCTTGATTTGATAGCCTATCTATTCAATAGCCAAAGTAAAACCTTGGATAATTCCATGAAAAATGCAATTAGTACATAATAAATGTAAATAGAGGTATACATAACATTCACGTGGAGTAAGGTCCATTTGATTTTTTGTTTTTGTAAGACCTAGAGTTGTCAAAACAGACCGGCGGGGCGGGGTGGTCCTATGAAATGCCGGCCCAACCC